GCGCTGGCCACGCCCCCGGCAGGCCCCGCAGCCAACCGCGTTGACGGGCTCTGCCGTGACGTCACCGTATGACCCGGATGCGGAAGGGAGGGAACAGGAAGTGACTGGGACCTCCGTGGCGCCCTCGCAGCCACGGTCACGAGGACTTCACTTCCTCCGCTCGGGCCCGCGGCTCCCGTAGCTCCCCGGGTTGGGGAACCGAGACCTACGCGTGGGCCGTAGCGACACGGTGCGGTTCCGCACAGTAACCGCGGGGCAAGGAAGGGAGGAGGCCTGCTTTCCTTCTGGCTCCCGAGCGTGGAGGTGAGGCTCCTGCCACCTGCCCACTCCGTGGAGAACAGCGCGGTTCAGTTGCATTTATGTGCAGAGAACGGGGAGTTCTTTCTAACGTGCATGTGCTCTTCCTTTGTGACAGACGTCGGCGTGTCCTGAAACGGAGGCTTCGGCTGCAATTCCGTCCGAGCCACAGTCGCCGCCCCCTCCGTCGGCGGAGTGTCCTGCACGCCCCAGCACCTCGGTATGTTCTGTTGTCGACTCTCCCGTGCCCGTCTCTCTGGGCTCTCGGCTTCCCCCGAGTTCTCTCGATCCTTCCATCCACCGGGCGCCGTGTGCTTCGTAGAACACTGAGGCCCGGGCCAGCGTGCAATCGGGGCGCTGGGCTTAAAGTCCAGTTCCGTGGTTCGGGAGGATGGGATTCCCCAAGTGTCCCATCGGAGCTTCTTTTCCTCCTCCTGTGTTGCATTTCCCGACGGTATTAGCAAGATTCAGAAGAGACCAGGATGGGCACGGACCTCTCCGTTGATGTTTGAGGGCTTTTGGTAGGATTTGCACCACGGTCTGCTCCGGTGCCTTCCTTTTATCCGACGTGATTTGTGCCATGGTTTCAGCTACTCACGGTCAGATGGGGTCTGAAAATACTGACCTCACTCTTTAAAGACAGAAAGACCACCTGGTCCTTGCTTTCACGGCTGAGTACTGTTGTAATTTACCTGTTTCATTCATCATTTAAAATTATTGGCTTGTCCTAGTTTATCAGTTAAACTTTTTCAAAGGTGTGTAGGAGACAAAAGTCAAGTACGTGTAGTGTTCAGTCCCATCCAGATGACAGGCATCCATCGGGTGTCTCGGGATGAATCTCCTGAGTAAAGAGAGGCTACCACATGAGTGGAGTATACGTACCATTTTAATTCCTCTTTTTTGATAAATTTATCCTCGTTTGCCATGTGTCCCGTGGCCACGTCAGCAGAAGACTCAACTCTGCAGGTGCATTTTTTTTTTTTTTTTCCTTTTTGGTGCCGGGGATTGAACTTGGGTCCTTGCACTTGCGAGACAGGTGGAGGAACCACAGAGCCAAATCCCTGGCCTTAGGTGCATTGTGATTACTGTCAGTGAGAAATCCGCAGGGAGGTGCATCCACGGACGCTGGCTTTCAAGCACTGACATCCTCCTCTGAGAAAATTGACTTCACTAGGCCGAGGACCCTCTTAGGGTCCCGTCTGGTGTAAGAACGGCCGTCGTTCGGGAGCGTCTGGTGTGGTACCAGCAGCAGGTTTAGTCTTCTCTGCAGGATGCATTGATTTCACCTAGTTTCACCCCAGGAAATAGTATCCCTTGTCCCTGAGGTGAACAGGAGAGCAGTCCAACGCTCAGGACAGACTAACGATCGGACGATTGTGTTTCTGGCAGCCTGAGAATCAAGTCGAAGGCGGCCCGGCTGAAGATCCCAGGGAACCAAGCCAGGAGCCCCGCGCTGAGGTCTCCGGACACCCGGGTCCCCAGGCAGCCTTGGAGGTGGTACACACCCCCCCAGCTTGTCCTGCGTCGGTGGGGGTGCCCCTGGCGGTCCCCGGTGCATGCGTTGCTCTCCGTCCAGTTTTCAGCCTTGCTTAGCGTCCTCTGTCTCTCCCGGTGGCTTTGTTGCGTCCGGATGATTTCTCAATTCCTCGACTCCAATTCACGACGTGACTTCTCTCCTAAAAAGTGGTCCCTTGCGCTGTTGGTTTGAGAGAAGTTTCAGGGGTATTGAGAGGGATTCACACTCGGCTCTTTTGCACTATGAAGAGGAGAAAAGCAGCAGCGTCTAGGGGCTCCTGTTTGGAGTGTAAATCAAACACGCTGCGATTTATTTTTAGGTCACCCAAATGAAAGGTGCTTTCTACTGGTTCCTTTCTTTTTCCTATTGTTCTCATCTTTAACTTCATTTTCTCCACCCGTACAGGTAATGAGAGCAAAGGCCGGGGTTTTCTCTCTCTCAGAATGACCTGGTTATGGCCTTTGGTCTTTGGCGATACTCAGTACAGCTCTAGAACTGGGGTTCGGGCAGTACATAAAAGCTAGTATTGAACCTGAGTTTGAAACATTGCCTAAACTGTCTTCTGTTAGCTTGCTGGTGCTGTTTCGCCTTTTCTCTTTTGGAACCGGGGCTTGAACTCGGGTCCTTGTGGCGTGCAAAGCAGGCAGCAGAAACAGTGAGTTAAATCCCGAGCAGCTTACCGGGACAATAACAGATACCTGAGATAATCAACTTTTAAAAGCTGAAAAGGTTTACTGGGCCGATGATTTCAGACTATGATTGGTTGGACCCATTTCTTTTGGGCCTGTGGCGAGGCAGAAATATCAGACCGGAAGAGCACAGAGGCGGCAACGTGCTCAGCCTGTCATAGCCAGAAGTCAAAGAGGAGAGGCCGGAGTCCCCCAATCCCCTTCAAGGCCACACCTTCAGTGACCTCACTTCCTCCCACAATCACTTTCTGGGCCCGCCCCCAGTGACCTCGCTTCCTCCCCAAAGCCCTTCTAGGCCACGCCCCCAGTGACCTCACTTCCTCCCCAAACCCTTCTAGGCCACGCCCCCAGTGACCTCACTTTCGCTCACTGGGCCCCCAAATAGCACTAAGGGGGGCGGGAGCAAGTCCAATATGGTTCCCAGCTAACAGGTCCTCCAGTTAGAGGTTCACGTCTGGAAGGCTTTCCCACTCGCAGAACCAGAGAGGGGCCGGGGTGGGTGGAAAGGACAGTGCTCTCTCGAGCGTGTGGCCCAGGGCGGTCGTCAGGCTTTCGGTCATCTGTTCAACCGGGGAGCAGCGCTGTGCCTTCGACGTGTGTCCCCCCCGCCCTCCCGTAGGTGACCCTTTCTAGCACACTGATGCGATCCTGCTTATAATATGGTGGGCAGGACTTGTTGCTTTCGTGATCAGCCTCTCCTCTCCTCAGCACAAGTGCCAGGGTCGCAGTGCTTTTCTCTCCCGAATTTCTAGCACACTGATGCGATTCTGCTTATAAGGTGGGCAGGACGCGTTGGTTTCGTGATCAGCCTCTCCTCTCCTCAGCACAAGTGCCAGGGTCGCAGTGCTTTTCTCTCCCGAGGACTGACGTGCAAGGAGGTGCTGTGTGTGCCATTGCTTCTGACGAGATGCCTTTCTCTGAGGCTTAAGGAGGGTGAATCTCAGGCGCTCAGAAGGGAGGAAGGCGAAGTTACTCTGAGATACGTCTCGTTTACTCCTCCTGTCTTCTTGGAAATGAGGGTAGAGTGCTGGACCTTTGATGGAAAATTCCTTTAAAATCACCGTGTGCTCTGCCCCCAAAAATTATAGTGAAGGTTTGTCCGGTGTACAACACCAACCCAGCACGTACAAACTACAACATCTCAAAACTTCCCGTGTAGGGCATCTGTCTGTCCGTCTATCCATCCATTCGTCCGTCCTCTACCTCTCTAGCCATCTATCTCTCTGTATGTATCCATCTTTTCATTGAATTCTGTCTGTTTCATCTTTCCGTGCATTTACCCACCTATCCGCTGATCCGTCCATCTCTGTATCAGTCTATTCATTTATCAGTTGATCCACCCATTAATGCATGTCAGTGCATCCATCCACCCACCCGTCCATCCACCCGTCCACCCACCCGTCCACCCACCCATCCATCCA